CTCACCCGGCCCAGCTCCCTGCTCGAGGGTGCCCACGGGGTGACGGTCAGAGCCCAGCCATGCCAGCACCGTCCCGCCCTGCAGGGCTGCGCACACACAAAGGCACCCTCAGCTCCTCGCAGGCCATTACAGCACCCCTCGGGGATCTCCGAGCACCTCTAAGGGAAACCTGTAGTCCAGGAATGCTGAGCTCTTGGGCCACCATGAGTCCTGTGCTAAGCACTGCCCTAAGCATGCCTGGTCCCTTGCCCCCTGCACCGAGACCAACACATGTACCATCACACCTCCACATTTCTTCTTGCCCTCTCTTCCTGCAGCTCTGCAGAGACCACCTATGTCCAGCCCTGCCAGAAGGACACTGAAAAGACACACAGACAGGCAGACACGAGCACACACACACTTACTTCCTATAGATTCAGACTAGCACCAAGGCACTACAACACACCCAAAGTGGACAGTGTTCCAGGTCCCTATAGCCATGAGAGGACACCACCACCATGAGCCCCGGCTGTTGCTCATGAGCTGTGTGGTTCAGTGAGGTCTGTGCTCCCTGTGTGCTGGTCCTGGGCAGCTGCTGCAGCTCCTCTCTGCTCACCAGCTGCCACCTTAGGGCCAGAAACTTCCCAGGTCACCAATGCACCCAGGACTGCTGGGCACACACAGACCCATACAGCCTGTTCTCTTCCCATCATGCTGCCACTGGCACACCTGTGTGCGATACCTGCAGACACTCAGCTTCTCTCCACTTTTCCCATCTGCATTAAGTGCCCCAGCCTTAAAGACCATGACCATGTGGGTGACACCTTCCATGGGAAGTTTCCTCATTTCTCATCCTTTTGCTTCACTCTTTAAAACTGACAGACCTTCTGTGAGGAGGTCCTAGAGCTCCCTAATTTCTGCTTCATCCCGCCATCTCCTTCCACAGTTCCTTCACTTCTAGTGATGCCCAGTCTGGGGCAATCCCAGACTTGGGACTGTCCTGTGCTCCATGCAGAGAGATGCCCTGAAGTCCCCTTGATGTCCCCAGCTGTCCCAAGACTCTGCACAGGGGCCCTGCAAGTGCTCTGCTCCCTGCAACGTCAGCCACTTGCTTTCTTGGCACATGGCTAAGCTATGCCATTGGCAAGGTGTGATCAGGCTCCCTTCATGATGCTCTGACTCACCAACCAGACTGGGGTTTGGCTCCATTCAGCACTCCTTTTCCCATCACATCTTCCACTGGCTTGGATCTGTTAGACTAATGCCACCATTTCACCACAAAGACATTAATTCCAAGCAAATACGTTCATTCCACTCTGGTTCTGCAGACAGCCACAGGTGTTACCAGCTCCTGGCAGGACCTTAGCACCTATCATGGGCTATGTGCGTCCTGTGTGGCCTGTTCCACATCCTCTGATGTTCTACGGTTTGCCAGGACACTGTGCGCTACTTCTAATTTGCCCCACTCAAGATGGGGGACTGCAGGAAACGTCTGCCCCATTGCCTTGCTAAAACATCAGGGCTTCTCCCAGTGGAATCACACCCTTAATCTTCACGCTACACGGTGCCTGTCCCACACCTGCCTCTATCACACTCGCTGAGCAAAGTTCAAGCAGAGAATCGGAGGTCCTAGCCCAGACTCCAGGACAGCCTCAGCTTTATAACCATTTCCCTACAGCAGACAAGCAGCGACCTCTTCCTCTCTCTTGGCTTTGGTTGTGTAGCTGTGTTACTCCCAAGGTTTGATATTCCTTTGCTCCCTTGTGGCAACTCTCAAGTTTGCACATGTGCACTGCTGTACACATGCTGGGAGGATGTCCTCATGTGTATGTCAGTACAGGTACTGGTGTACAAACACCACCCAAACACAGCAGAGCCTGACCTAGCCCTGGCAGAACAGCCTTCATGGATGCATCTTCCCCTGGACAAGCTTCACCAGCCAAGCTGGACTGCGATGTGACCACTGCAGGTGTCCTCGGGAGCCTCGGGACATGCTCAGGAGTACTTCCTAGCACAGGATGCCTCGCACCCTGCAACAAACAGCCCAGAAGCAAATGCGTACTTGGGCCCATGGAGCCAGAACAGCCAAGGCCATGGGCCCTATCTCTGACCAGATCTGACCTACTGAAGCACTTCTACATACCCATGGCAGACACAACATGTGAGGGCCCTGCAAAAGGCATGGTTTACACGACCAATTCACCCTTCCCCATTCCTACATGATAACCCCAGGCGTTTCCTGGTACCTTTGGCGGAGGCATTGTTCTGCGAGGATGATGAGGGTCTCCTCTGTGTGAGGAAAACACCAGGTGCCATCGGCTGCGATCCCCTGTTAGGCTGGGCGACCCCAAAGGTGCTGGCCCCTGCGGTGTACTCGTGATCTGTGAGGCTGCTGGCATGTGACTCCAGCTTCGGCTCTGGTGAGCTGCCTTCCTGAGCCAGTTTGTTCACGTTGTTGGTTGACAGCTTCTTTTTGGTATTTTTTTTCTTCTTGCCTTTTTGTTCCTCCTTTAAAATGACAAACATGAAGCTCAGATTAATCCCCAGAAGACCTTTAACTACGGCAAGGGCCGGCGGCGTTGCTTAGGGTCCTGATACAAAGAAAACCCATGAAGTTTGCCATGTACAAACTGCTCAGGGGCTGTTCCAACACCGTCTCGCTCACAGGTCTTTCTGCTGCAGGCAAACTTTTGCCTTTTTTGCCTTTCTTGACCTACGTGTGTGCTTTGTGCAGAGCCTTCTTGTTTGTCAACTCTGCACGCACCGCGGCGAGCAGGAGCCAGCCAGGACCAAAACAACCCTGCCCTGGGAGACCAGCAGGGTTTTGCATGGACAAATCTTTCGATGTTCCACAAAAACTTTCACCTCCTATCTTCAGGTATCTTCATACACTTTCACAACAGCACGGAGGACATTAAACATCCCACTGATTCCCAGACTCTGTTTCCTGCTAGGACATACGCATAATTTCCACCTGTAACTGCACTTACACATACATACCATGAGAACAGTGCTCTGCCACCATCCTGTTTCCCTCGCCTACTTTCAGTCCAACTCCTTCATGAAACCCTGCTGCCATTCTTAAGAGCTCTTCTACTCAACAGTATGCACCACAGAAGCCCAACACCACCAAAACCTGCATCTCCAGAAGCTTGCCAAAGTGTCTCACCAACCTTGCTCCAGCAGACCTGGTCACCTTTGTGCCTCACAGCATCACGTTTGTGGGGCCTGTATGCATTGGGCACTTAGCAGATGCTGAAGTTCAGATGCATATCTGAACTCTTCAGAGACCAGACACTCAGCAACACTTCAGAGCGCCTCAGTCTTTGCTAAACTGACCCACAGTTACCCAACAGTTCACCAAGCCTTTGGAAGTTAATCCTTATGCTTCCCAGCAGCCGATTTCCATAGACAAGGCAATCACACCAGTCACACCAGATACACATCAATGTGCTGTTCATGCACACTCCTTTTAGGCAGCCTCTTTCTGTCTTAGCCTGGTAGCTATGCTCGCTCATCCTTCTCTACACTTCCAACACATGACCTGCTCTGAGCTGCAGCACTGTCAGATATGTTGTGACATTCTTGGGCTTTCATCACATCCCTGAGACTGCTTAACCTTGTGTCACTGGCATGAGTAAGCACTGGGGAGAGCTGACAGGGCACTGCTACAGGGGCATGGCTGCCGCTGGGGAGAGGGCTTTCGTTTCCTGACAGCTATGGCTTCTGAAGCAGCCTCACCTGCTGTGACAACTTGGCGGCAGCAGCGGCGAGTCCAGTTTCTATGGAGGCGACTCTTGTGCCCTCTCGCACTGGTCTGTCTTGTCGAGGCACCGAGGGGCCAACTCGTGCTGCAAGGAAAGCAGATGCAGGTGAGATGTGCAGAAGGTGCCTGTGAGAGCAGCGTAACCACCCACCTCCTGCGCAGGGATGCCACAGCCTCTGCCCTCCTTCCCCAGGACGCGTGCAAAGCCAGGAGGTGCCAACAGCCTCCAGTCACAGTGGCTTTTGGGGGAGCGGCACATAACAAGAGAAACAAAAATAAGGATGAAACACAGCTGAGCAACTTCACTGGCAGCTGCAGCTACCTGAAGCCAAAGCCATGGAGGTTTCTGCCTACACTACAGATACGAGCGACTCCAGCATCGTTTCCAAATGGACAGTGTTCACTGCCCCAAGAGCTGGGGGTGGACATGAGTGCCACAAGCTGATGAGACATGGGCTGCTTGTCACACACACAGCAAGCTGCAGAGACCTCCTTGTTAGTGGACACATCAAAGGAGTCTATGGACCCCCTGGCCTGTCACTGCCTCTGGTGAGCCGTAACAAAACCACCCCTACAGACCACCAGCTCTGGCTGAAGCTGGAGGAGACTATTCTCACGCTCTCTCTCATTCTTCTTTATGCAGCCAACACCTAAAAGCCCTGGCTATTCAGCTGTCTGGGGTTTCACTGCTATACTACTGCTAAGGTGGCCACCAACTTTTCCATCACCAAGAGTGTAAAGAAAAATAAACCAACAACCCACTGAGGAATGACTTTTCCTGCCACCTCATTGACAGAGGAAGGCTAACACTGCTTGGCATGAGTCCCAGCGCAGGCTGTCACCTCCCACTGTGCTGGGAAGGATTAATCCTTCACATGATAAAGAAATTGCTAGTTGTAGTCTTACAATTTCCACACTTCTTGAGAAATGGCTGGTTTCTTAGGGACCTGCACAACTTAGCCTGTGTTGGGGCAGGACAGACTATATGGACTTACCAGTTGGACTGTAAGGGGCATCATCTGAACTTTTCCTTTTCTTTGATCGGGATTTGAAAACTGGATTATCTTCATCTGATTCAAGAGAAGGGTAAACTACAGTAGGAAACAAAGGCAATAGTTTCAGTGTAGGAAACAGCTCTACGCTTGCATCGAGGCCCACTTGCTCTGTATGGGTGCAGTAGCTAAAGGCAGCACAGCTACAATAGCAAGGGCTCAAGAAATACCACTGAGTGGTGACACAGCTGCACCACTCAGGGGACTTTCTCCTACTCTCATTCACACACTACCCCTGGGAGCTGCTGCCATTAAACTGTGACCAGGTACTTTTACGATACACAGTGAAACTTCGGAGAGGAAAAATCAGCTATCAGCTCTTCCTCTTGTCTGTAGAGCAGCAGCACAGCTGGAAGAGACATGAACAGGTTTCCTTGTCTCAAGCTAGACTGGTACTGAAGGCACATCAGCCAAACACTTCATTCAGCACACAGCTTCCTGTCTCCTGTGACTCCTGCACAATGAGGCAGAGGCAAATAAGACACACTGCAGGTATCCAAAAGATAAATGTGAACCAGAATGCTGAAGCACCCTTCACAGGCCTGAGGGATAAACACCAACTGATCTCTCTAAACATTGTCCCAACCTGGACTATGAAGTTTCTGCTTTTTTTTTTCTCCCCACATACACTTGATTTTCTTGCTAGTTGCCATTTGTTACCTCACTTATGATTTTGGCATTACTGTGGCATCTGGCCATTGACACCAGAAGCATGCTGATCAGAGATGGCACAGAGCCTCTGGAAACCAAACCTGCTCCCCTCAAAGACTCTCTGTTCACTGGCAGCACAGGCACACAACAAGCAAATCCACCCCTCAGCAGAGCAGAGCCTTGTTCACGTGGCATCTGTCTGTAAACCACAGCCCTGTCCAACAGCTTCACGGAGCTGCCCTTTCCCAAAGCACCTTCCAGCACTGCCACTACATGCAAGTATGCTCTAAATGGCTGGGCACCTTCTGCAACATGTCGCAGCATCTCCACCTCACCTCGGGGTCTCTGTTAGTAATGTGAAAAGACATATTCCACTTTTCCATTCGTAACAAATGATTTCTAATGGCCCTGCTTCTCAGGGAGGCTCCAACACACACACAGACTCTCCTGTTATGCAGCATAAACCTCTACCAACTTCTTGCCCTCTTTGGGACTTCAGGTTTTCCAGCCCCTACCAATCTTCATATTATTCCTTTTCTTCATTTCCTCACTTCTTTATACTCAAAAACACCCCTGCAGATTATTATGGCAGAACTGATATAACTGGTGCAAACTGGCTTTGTGCCCATTTCTGCTTCAGGTGCTTGCATTCTCTGCCAGCACTCAAAACACCATTTGATCCCTTTTCCAAGTACAAATTCAACTTCTCACTCAGCTAGATATTTTATTGCTATTGTGTAGACAAAGACATTTCTGTCATAAGTGCTAGTGCATGACACACATTTCTGGGACAGTTTCCTGCTTCTTGGCTGACTGGTGTGGTTTCAGTGGGCTTCCATGTTTCTTAAGAGCTTCTGATTGTCACATGCCCCAAATACAGTCTGCCTGGATGGCAGTGTCACCACCAGCTCTGCAGTCAGCCTATCTGTCTTCACAGTGTTTGCTTAATTTTGCCATGCAGGTCTCTTGTTATTTGCACTTCTCCTTCCCAAAACACCCAGTGGATTCCAATGGGACATGAGCAAGCACATCATGAGAATCATGGGTGTATATGCAAACATGCACAGGTATGTACATGCAGCCGCAGGAACACACTCAGAGCTCATTTGTACTCACCATAGTCTGAATCTTTAAAACAGGCATCTAAGTGGTCCTGGTCCTCATCATAATCTTCTATGTCGATGTTGTTCTTTGTGCTTTTCTTCAGTAACCGTTTGCCGGTGTTTTTGTTGCTGCCACCACCTGTTTTTTTAGAGTTCTGTGTGGAGATGGAGTTATTCTTCGCCTGGTTGGTACCCCACGATGGCTGGAGGCAGGACTCTGAGGACTGGAGGTTTGCCATGGATAGCATGCCCTGGATTGCTTCCTGCGTGCTGGGTGAGGCAGGTGGCTGACTGTGGGGAGCAGCGAGAAACGCAAGAGCTATCAGTGATTCCAGAAACACAGGAACCCCCTTCAAATGGCTTATTTCTTTTCCTGCACAGTACTGCTAGGAGAGGTTTCCTGATTACTGCCCTTTGACCAGCTGGACATGCCACAAGTGATTCTTATGCTACCAGCAGTATCCCAGTCAGCCCATTAGCTTTTGGGGTGCTTCCCCAGAAGCAAGGAAGCTGGCATGCAATGGGCAGCTCCCTGGGGGCTGTTGATGCTGGTGGGTGAGGACAGGGGTCAGGTCGCTTTTCGTGGCCCAAACCAGCATTCATAGAATCACACAGAATCATGGAATCCTTACGGTTGGAAGGGACCTCTGGAGATCATTCAGTCCAACCCTCTGCAAGGCAGGGTGACCAGAAGCAGGTTACACAGGAACATGTCCAGAAGGGTTTAGAATGTCTCCAGAGAGGGAGACTCCACAACCCCCCTGGGCAGCCTGTTCAGTGCTCTGCCATCCTCAATAGAAAGAAGTTCTTCATGTTGAGATGAGACTTGTGTTTTAGTTTATGGCCATTGCTCCTTGTCCTGTCACCAGAAGTTGGGGAATAAAACTCCTTACCACCAATGCAGCATTAACAAGCAGGCACTTCTTTATTGCAGCAGTGGGTGCTAGGTGGCATTTCCACAAATCAAGCACACCCAATGCCGATTCCATCCTTACATTTATACAGAAAATGACAAGGTAGTGCACTCCCAGTTACAGTGATTGGTTAGTGATTTACATACAATTATAATATCTGCAGTGTCATTCTCTTCTGCTACTACGCTTGCGCAGGAGAAGGGTCTTCACTTGGGCGAGGGCCTTCTCGTTCTGTGGGTGTGCTTTTTAGTATTAAAATGAAGGCAGTTTACTTTAGGTCATCTTAAAAGTAAGTTTTGTTGCCAAGTTGGCCAGTGAGATTTCTACCTTGCCAGGTTGTCACATAACTCGTCCCATATACAATAGACCCTAGGTGTTCTGGTTATGCTCTAGTGAGTAAGGACTATGGCTAGCAGGTCACAGAGAACAGGGACTTGAAGCAACACAGCATTTAATTTCTAAGCTAACACAGCATCCCATGCTAACATAGAGGCTAACCTCTTAAATCAAGATGTTCTTATAGTTAACTGCTTCATAATCAAACACAAAATATAGAAAGATTCAGTAAAACTTAAGATAATCTCCAAGAGTCCTGTCACTGGGCACCACTGGAAAGAGTCTGGCAACAACACAGAGTCTCTACTACCAGCTCTAAGGGCTTACGGGTCAGCACTGGAGGGGGATGCTGTGGTGGGCTTCTGTGATATGCTGCCAAGAGAGTAGAGGAAGAATATGAACAACTGTAAGGAAGCTCATGATCACGGGTGACAGTTCACACTTGGGGCTGTCACAACTCCAGGATCTGCTGGAAGAGAACATGGTAGGCCAGGCTGGACAGAGCCTTGGGTGACATGGTCTACTGTGAGGTGTCCCTGCCCATGGCAGGGGGTTGGAACTTCATGAGCTTAAGGTCCTTTCCAACCCAAACCATTCTATGGTTCTATGGTGGGGCACAAACAAGTGAAGAAATTTCTACAGTGCATTGGGAAGGTTTTCTGATGTGGGTGTGGGATGGATTGATTATGGGAGATGCTGGAGAGACACGGACTAGATGGGGGGACTGCAGGGTGGGTAAAAACCTGGCTTTCATGGAACTTGCTTTTTGGTATTTTACTGCCGGTCGCCAGCAGGCACAGCACATCTACTTGGAAAGAAACATTCCTGCGGAGTAGGCTGAGGTCAAACAACATGTAAATTCTGACTGGCATCTATGCTTAGTGAGGTGGAAAGCAGGCTCCCCACCACAGAGAACGCAGAGGAATGATAATCTCTGCAGAGGAAGTCAGACATGAATTCTGTGGCAGGCAGAAAACATCATCAAACACCGCCAGAACTTTGGAGTTTGGGCAAAAAGTGAAATGCAAAATGCAAAAACCCCCCTTGCTGTGGGAATATTTTTTACAATTATGCAACAGAAGCCACCAACGTACAGCATTTCCCAAACAAATTAGCAGTACCACAGTGCTTTTTCTTACTTTATCTTAACATAATCCACTTTAAACCATTACAGGACTCGGGATAGAGTAACGTACAAGACATCATGGGATTTTCTGGGCACTAATTGCAGTTATAAATAATCCTGGAAATGAGTTAAGACTGGGGTTAGCAGCTAGAAATTCAATGAATAGAAGAACATTGAAATACTTAGGAAAGAGACATTTTAATCCCTTCATTATCATGCCAGATGCCGTACCCTTCTCCTTGTCAAAGGCATATTTTGCACCATCTATAAGAAATTAACATATTTTCTTTACAGTTTTTCCCCCAACTGCTTTTGTGAACACCGGCCTCTCAAAACACTGCAAACAGACCATCAAGTAGTGACCACTAAATTGGCAAATCAGAGAGGAACTGCCTGAAGGAACACAAACTTCAACGAGTAGATTGTGGAATATGATCAAAACCAGTGGTTCTGAGAGTCAGACCACAGCCTGAATGTGTGGGAGAAACGTCTCAAAGAGACAGAGCTGTGTGTGGGGCAAAGTGTTACTCATTAGGGCAAGTGCTTGTGTGCACTTCCATTAGAAGCATTGCAGATTTCTAAGCCTAAAAGAATTCAGAAAGAACCAGGAAGCAATTTGGAAGCTCTGGAAGGATATATCCCCTTCCTGTAGCTTCAGCAATGATTTCAAAACAAAAATATTTATGGAAGGAAACTAACTATCTGTGAGTTACAACTGTGACCTAGCAAACACTTGAAATGAGCCGGGGAGCAGGAGCAAAGCAGCCAGAGCACTTCTCACTGTTCTGTGATTCTGTGATTTTTGAGCAACCTGCTCTAGTGGAAGGTGTCCCTGTCCATGGTAGGGGTTGGAACTGGATGAGCTTTAAGGTCCCTTCCAACCCAAACCAGTCTAGGATTTTGCATGGCTTCCCTGTTAGGGATTTTATTTCCTTTTACTCTTGCAAAGACAAGGACACATAATTGAGAGATCAGCTTACTGCGATAACTATTCCCTGCCTAGAAAGCATCTGGAGGTTTTAGCTGCATACAGTGCAGAAACTGAAGGAGGTCCGAACTGGAAGCTCTCAGCTTCCCCTGCAACACCCAGTACTGCATGGTAAACCTTGATGCAGCTGCTACATGGTCCACAGGCAAAAGATTCATAGAATCCCAGATCGGTTTGGGTTGAAGGGA